GAGACAGATAGGCACTAGCGATAAGAACTCAATGTTATTTGCTTTTGTACGAATAAACAAAAAAAATCAACAGCAAAGTACATTTTAGATGCTAGTACGCTTTACAATTCCAAACTGGAAAGTAAAAGCTCCTTTCCAACAGCTCGAGTTGTTAAAAGCCGAGCTGAGAAAGCTCAACAGTGTCGCCTGTTCGTATATGCCCAGACTCCACTAGAGCTCAAAATCATTTATTATTTATTATTATTTGACCCAGTGAAATTGATATATTTATATATTTTTTAACAATTTAAATATAAAAGTTCAATTTAATGAAAACCCAGATACTCCGGGACACAGTCGATCGATGCTTGCAAGTGTACAGCAGAGCTTATTCTATCTATACATATATTTATGTATAYGTCGTAACGGTGCGATATTACGCTATTGTTGAAGTTACTATGCCAGAAATTATTAATCGATTGATTTAGTATTGTAGTGACAATTAAAGGTTGTATTGCCACTAAGAGAGGGACAACTATAGCTGTTGCTGAACGTGGGTCCGGGTCTCGCTGTGTGTGAGCGAGACGGCTAGTTATGTCCTTCGCACAGGGTCACTACGTTTTCGATGAACAAGAATATGCGACCAGAAATAGAGGTTTTGACGAGGAGAGAAATGAGTTGGTCGTAGAATATTGAACAAGAAAGAGCTTTGTGAAAGAATTAAGCGACACCGGGAACTCGTTGATAAGCGCAATTATAATGGAATACAAACACGAGAAACGTAACGCCCCGACATTTCTATGTTTTTTTTGTCCTAATCCGGGTGTTTTTGCTCGGGGAAAACCGGAATATTGTCTAGTGAGCATGTTTTCTAAAAACTTAATTTTGCTCGTGAAAACTTTATTATTCCAACAAGTAATAGAAACAACATTCCATCATTTCAATTATATGCACAATATTTATAAATGTAGAGTTTTATTTTTTTCCCCTCGTACAAAACGCAGCAACTTTCCTTATTGTAATCTCTTAATTTAGTGCTCAAACTGTGCACAAAAAGTGCACGGAAAGTAATTTAACATTGCCCTTTTTCATCTCTCAATTTTCTTCCACTATCGCGTTCGCCATTTGCAAACTCTGAAAAAAGTAGCTAGAAACTATTTAAAGTTTCTTCACGTTTTTTATATTTTTGGCCCTCGAATATGTATCGTACTTTTATTGCCATTCTCTATTATTTGTTGCCCTTGTTGCATGTGCATATTATGCCCCGGAGGCAGAGCAACATGGGCAAAAGCTCTTGGCCCAGACAACAACAAGCAATGCTTATGAAAAAGTACTTAACGTGCACAAAACTTATGTGCCAAGAGACTTCCTCCCTCAACCCGCCGACGAACAAACTGAGAAAGCTACAACGACATACAAATTCCTCACTGTTTGCTCGACAGCAAGGGAACACAAGAGGTAAAATTGCTGCATCCCACTACTCACTCGGAGTATGAGAAATATTCCCAATAACACATACATACATCGAAAATACGGAGTAGTTGTTACGCCGTACCAGGCCGAATGCCGCCTCACATAAACAACTTCTCGTAATGCTAAGCGCATTTTTCAATAGAAGAAAAGTTTCAACGCAACATCTTTGCAAAAAAAAAAACAACACAGAATATTGTATTCCGTTAGCTACTGATTGTACTTAACTCTTATTCTACTATMAAATTTATTCGTTAAAAAGTTTGAGAACCACTCAGAATTCGTTTTATTCGTGTGACCGAGCGATCATCGAAGCGCTACRCCCATCATACGTGCAACAAGTCACAACGTAAAGGGCATAACGCAAATCCTCACGCTACCGAATAAACCGATTCATCTCATCAGCGTGGGTATGGTGTGCTTTCATTTTGTGTGAAAGTAAGTGAAGACTGACTACAGAAATGATCCTGTGAAGTATAGTCTTAAATTTTCAATGTTCACCGAAGCGCTCTATACGCTGCGCTTCCAAGAACCCGTTGAGAATTCTAAGTGTGCACACAGTAAAAAGAAACGCTCACAGTGGATGGTTACGCAATTCATCACACAGTATTTCGTTGTATATTGTTGCTCAATGAGTGCTCCAACAGCTCGATAATCAGTGAGCTAGAAAGAGCAGACACGATCGTTTAATGATTTCAAATGTGAGAAAAATGTATTTAAATGTTAAAAATAGAATAAAAAGTTCTAGCCACTTGGCAGCGGTGGGATTCGAACCCACGCCTCCGAGGAGACTGGTGCCTTAAACCAGCGCCTTAGACCGCTCGGCCACGCTACCATGTTCGCCTTGGCCGTCCAATATTGTAATAGAGCAAACTGCGAATTGTATTGCTTATAGAGTTAAATTGAATTTAAATACATTCGAATGGAAGCAACTTGTTTAGCCAATGGAACTAAATTAAATTCAATAAACTTCTACTTTGGTCTTGGTTCTTACAATGCACACAAATTTTCCAATTTAGCGCTGTCAGCTGAACTATTTTGTTAACTCATTCATTAAACGCACAACTTGAATTTCAATTGCGCCTGTTGTCTTTCGCCTGGAATGCGGCTGGCTGTGGCTGCGATTCGCCTTTGTTCGAGTTCTTTGTCAATTGTTTGAAATTTAATTTGAGGCTCTCTTGGACATGTCGCAGGAAATTCATGGGATTCGTTGGATTCATTGGATGCCTGGTAATGCCCACAATTAACTCCATTAGCATTTTGCTCCGCTTGCTGCCCAATTGCAGCTCTATGTGTCGGTCTGTCTGGCTGCACCTGGATCTGGGTACGTGATTTTTTGCCATTTTACACGCGTCTGGCATTAAAAATTTACAGCTTTGCAATTATTTGCATGCCGAGCGCCTTAAATTTGTGCAGAAATTCACGTGTGTGGCAAAATATTTTGTATGTTGACGCGGCTGCGGCTGCTTTTTGCAGACCTTTGCTGGCATTTTAATGAAACCGCAAATGTTGCCCGTGCCACGCCCACATCCTACCTTCATTCCCAAAACACCCTTTGACTACTCGCCCTCCTCCCTCGACCGCTCCACGAACTAGAGACAGGAGACTGGAGAGAACACAACGGCAAGGAAAACCGCAGACTTTGTTTTTGTTTTGCTTATCGCCCGTGCAAAGATTTTTATTGCAATTTTCTAATTTCATTGCGGATGTTCCGTCTACTGCCTGCCTTTTCCCCATGCGTATATACATATGTATGTATGAAATTCCCATAGAGCGTTTCGTTTCGACTGTCGCCGGCTTCAGTTTATGGCTGCAACAACCGACAAGAAGAATAACAAAAGCGACGGCAAATTGTTGCTGCGGTTGCACATGTGAGAGGGTTTGCCCTTTCAACGTCACGCATAAATTCGCATTTTCATTTGAATTTTAAACTCATTTCCAAGTCTCATCTAAGCAGAAAACGCTGACAGTTTTACAAAAACAAATATTTTAAACAGAATTCTTCAATATGCACACATGCATATATACATTTATATATGAAGACTATACTCAAGAAATTGATTTTGTTTTGTGGGCATTTTCCCACAATGAGCGCATTTATATGCGCCGTAGTACGGCAAGCAAAATAAACTCAAGGTGTTGCCACGAGCGCCGCCCCTAAAAATAGTTGAACAGCGAAATCGAAATATTACTGCGACTCTGTTACTCTGTTACGTCATCGACACGCGAGCACAACAAAACCAGGCAATGGAAATTTTACAGTGCGCGAGCGCATGGCATTATGTGCGCTCTCATTTTGTTATTCTCTCATATATAGACTTTGACACAAGAGCAACACATGGTAGCGTGGCCGAGCGGTCTAAGGCGCTGGTTTAAGGCACCAGTCTCCTCGGAGGCGTGGGTTCGAATCCCACCGCTGCCAAGTGAAAAATTAATTTTTTAATTTATTATACAAAAATATTTACTCTAATATCTTTAGTCAAATGACAGTTTTTAGTTGGAAGCGTAAGCTAATTCCTCACAGTGAAATAATAATAATGATGTATCATACCAACAACAACATATTAGAGGGCAGCTAGCGATGACGACGTACTAGCAACCACCATGTGCGTTTCTTTTCTCTTTGTGAGTGCTTAGAATTCTCAACGGGTTCTTGGAAGCGCAGCGTATAGAGCGCTTCGGTGAGCGTTGAAAATTTAAGACTATACTTCACAGGATCATTTCTGTAGTCAGTCTTCACTTACTTTCACACAAAATGAAAGCACACCATACCCACGCTGACGAGATGAATCGGTTTATTCGGTAGCGTGAGGATTTGCGTTATGCCCTTTACGTTGTGACTTGTTGCACGTATGATGGGYGTAGCGCTTCGATGATCGCTCGGTCACACGAATAAAACGAATTCTGAGTGGTTCTCAAATTTTTTAAATAATAAATTTCAAGGAGGAGGAGAGGAAGAGAGTAGAGCGGAGCGTGTGCTCGGTAGTTGTTGCAGTGCACAGCAATTAAAAACGTTCTGGAAACACTTGGCGTTATTGTTGAAGAGTTTACTTGTCTCCTGGACAGTGGGGGGGAGGGTTGGCGCGGCTCTCGTTTAGTTAAGTGGGCTTCGTGCTTAAGTCTTAAGGTGTGAGTTCATAGCCGTTGATGGAGGGACAGACGAAGGTGATTCCAACAATTGTGTAGCGCTGGCGCTTTTATAAAAAACAGAATTTTGAATACTTTTTTGCTGCTAATTGGAAAGCAGCGCACTTTTCTAATTACTTAGAGCTGGATGACAGTAACCTTTGTTTAAGTGTGGTCGAACGTGCTTTTGGCTTAATTTAGAGTGCTGAAAATATCTGTATACATAGTTGCGATAGACATATAAATTGACATGAAATGAAAATTCTTTATAGAAATGGAATTATTTTAATTAAATGAGTTGTAATTAAAATATAAACTGGTTAATAATTATATAATATGTTTTTTTTTTTGCTCTGCTATTACGATTTAATGTGTAACGAGAAAGAGAGAGAGAGTGAGTGAGTAAAACGTGAAATATTATCGCTAATAATTGCCTTCATTTCGCACGCAACAACAATTAAGAGTTGCCTAGCCATGGCTACGGCTTTCTGCCTGCATATGGGACATACTTGAAGGGACACGTAGACGTAATGTATTGCTGCAATGAAAAGCAAATAAGAGTACGAGTGGGAGGGGAGTGTTTCGAATACTCACATAAAAATACATTTGAAATGTGGCAAGAGTAAACCGCAGCATTGTCAGCAAACATTCATTGAAACATCATCATTATCAACATTATCATCGGCAAACGGCTCGGTTCATGTAACTGTGTAGCAGGTGCCGGGCAGGGCAGGGCGGGGAATCGATGCTGTAATTGATGTCTTTGCGACATGTTCCCAAAGTGTTTACGTTGAGAATTACCCAAGTGCCGCAGTGTGTAAGTAACCGTGTGTATGTGTATGTGTATATTTGTGTGCGAGTGTGGGAGGACATGTCACGCCCCTTTGCTAGTTGACAGCCTGCCGTTTACGTGCACTTAATGAAATGTGCCCCAAAATGGAAGCACGTTTCGGGCATCTATTTAATGAGCCTGCAAGCGAAGGCAAAATGCTTTTCCTTCCTCTGCCCACTCCACTCCACTCCAGCCAGCTTCCTCTCGCAAGATGTTGATGTGAGTGGGGGAATTTTCTTTTTAAATGTCGCAAAGTAAATTCAATTTTCATTCGGATGAATCGGGCAACAGCCACATCAATAGCAACTGCAGCTGCAGTCGCTGCATTATTCAATGGCACTCAAAGCAAACGCTCACCTAAACCTGGCGGCTTCTATACCCAATACTCTCGCCACACGCGCTCTACATACTCTCCCAGCCAATTCTTCACATCTCTCTCGCCCGCTCAAACCGCATTTTAAAATTCATGTGTTCTCTCAACAATGCTCCATAGAAAACAAAATGCGATTAAATGTGTGGAAAATGCCGCAGGATAAACCACAATGGGCTAAGGCACCGTCTTGTTTGCACATGTGTCCCACAGCTGTTTCTGCTCTTTCCCCCTTTCACCACTCCCCTCTCGGCCACACATCCCTCCACAATCCTCAATGCCAAAAGCCATGCAAAGCCAGCCACAGACACACGTCGAAGGTGCAAAAATGCGTTAAACATAACATGCTAATTCCGGTTGCCTGCAGCTTCAATCTTTCAGCATCAGCTTCAGCCGCAGGAACACCTCCAGCTCCACCCCCACCCCCACTCCCATGGGACCGCACACTTGGTGGATACGTAATATGAGCGTTCTGTGTGCCATTTGATGCTGAACATTTGCTTTGCAGCCAGTTGGCTTTGTGTTTGCGCCGTGGCAAAGTTTTGCGGTCACAGGCTACACTTTGCCCGAGTGGGCGTGGCATCGCCGAGCTGGTCAGTGGAAAAGGAAACGCTTCGAGTCGTTGCAACTGCAGACGTTTGCCTCAAGCTCACCTGAAATTCRAGTTTAAAGTTTGGAGCGTTACGTCTAATAGAGAGAAATAACTTTTTCACAATTAACGCAAACACCTAGTGTAAATTTGGTGTGAATAACAGTTGAGAATA